AATAATATTATAAACTCCATGTCTTGATCCTAATTGTTCTCTGTGCACTACCCCTGACTACAACAGTAAATATCACATTGTCTTCTTAGTGTAAAAAATAAATAATAATAATAAACTGAAAGAGTAATAAGATCCAAAATGTACAATATATATTGTAATAATGAAAAGGAAAGTACTAAAAAGGAAAGAACAACTGTGATAGGAGAAAGGTGAGAGATTATATGTATATAGTATACACATATGCATATACATGTATGTATATGTGTGCAAGATAGATAACTATATTAATTATTCTAGTTCTATACTACTCATTCTTAGTTCATCAAAAAGAACAGTTTATGCTGTTATTCTTTGATTGTTTGATCATTTTTATGCCTAGATCTTGTAACCTGAACAACTGCTTCTAAGATAACAATATATAATATATTAACTAATGTTGATTCCTTACTTTTTTTGAAAGTCTGTAGTATTTGTCTGTTTTCCTGTTTTTTTTTAAAGAAAAAATAATCTAAGAATATAATTCTAAGTTTCACAGGAAAAACTATCACATTTCCTCCATGAACACATTCTCAGCAATTTTTCAGTTTTTCCACTGAGGGTAGAATTTGTTCCACATGATACATGAAAAAAGGCCAAGAATTTATAAAACTACATAAATAATGATAGAGGAGTTTCTAATAGCAATGGTGGCTGCCAGAATAATTTATTGAAAGAGCTGAGAATAACTGAATTTAATCTTAGAGTTCTATACTCAATTAAATAATCTTTCAAGAGTAACAATAAGAAAGATACAGATAGAAATTTACAGTTTTAAAACCATGATGAAAAGCCCCGAAGAATAACGTGGAGATGAGGATGTGTTTGGAACTTTGTGGTCTCCAGAGTGTTTGTGAGAAAAGAGATTCATCACCATTGACTTGGCTAAGTTCAAAATTTATGTTAATATTTTAAGAACAAAAGGTGGATGTAGAAAACATATCTCTGAAGCAGGACAAAGTTAAAAAGAATGTGGGTGATATATCTAAGTTAGAAAAGGGGGAGACAAAGTAAAGAGAGATAAACATGAAACATAAAGAACATGATAGAATTAAACAAATTTTCAGCAACTAAATATAGGTATTCCAAACTCATCAAGTTAAAAGGCAGAAACTCAAGTTAAGAGAAATGATGATGAAGGGTGGGAGGAGGATGACTGAAATGTGGTGTTTATAATAATTATCCCAATCTATGACAACAAAGTTAGAAACGAAAAACCACAGACCAAGGACTTCCAATTTCCAATCTAGCGGATGAAAAGTTTGGAAGTCACCATTCCATCCTGACAAGTAAAAGGCTGACCAAACTTCAAAAATCTACTACTCCTCTTAGATCTGTAAGAGAAGTAAAGTCAGAAGGCAAACCTTTACCTTCCAAATTAGGAGACTGACAGATGAATACAAGAATCACAGCTTCCAGGAGGAGGGCATGATGAGCTGAAACCTGCCTGGGAGCCAGGGCTGGACAGGAAAATCTGCACTGTAACTGGTGAGCTGCTCAGCACTGAGGAGACCGAGATAAGCTCCAAAGGGAACAGGCCCAGGCAGCAATTCCTTTAACTCAGACCCCCCATTCTTGTGAGTTTTATCTCCTGGAAGCCTATCAGGTCCTCACAGTGATGACTGGGGAAATATTTCCCACAGTCTGACAGAAGGATGTGAAAAAGAACCATGAAGTATCAGCACATTCTGTTCTTAACAAGAAGTTCTCTAAGAATAGTCAACTGCAGCTTAACCTACTGGGGATTTATCAAAGCTTCACTAATCTAGGGAAGGGAAATACACAACTCCAGCCAGTGCTAGCCACCTTGTCTCACCTATAGGAACAAGAAAAACCTGAGAAAAGTTTAATTTAAAAATCACAGCTGAGGGTTCAGGCTCACTGAATGACTGACACCTAATTGTAGAAGTATGGAATGATTTTCCTCCCCAATACCACACAACCAGAGATAGCCTGAGTTCCTTAATCCAGCAGCCATCCACATGTGGCCAGTACAGTTAGAAACAAAGGAGCTGAGTGTAAGGTACTCCTTTTCCATCATCTGACCCTAAAAGCACCAAATGGTCATTTCTGTTTCCATTTTTTTTAAGAGAGGTACAAAATAAAATAACAAAAGGCCTAAGAGCTCTTCATATCCTAAAGAGCAGAACTCTGGAACCAAGGGAAATTAAATGGGAGACCCCTAAAACCTTTAAATTCTGAAAGCCTGAGTTACCGGCCATCTTTATTCCTGTTGATGCTGCTACCTTTCCTGTAATCTTCAACAAGCATAGCTACTTACAACTTACACAATGGTTGGCAATTCTTTCCTCTTCAGACACAAAAACCTGGGCTATTATTGACCCGTTCAACTATAACATGGGTATCAAAAAAATTACAAGGCAGGCTGGGGATTTAGCTCAGTAGCATAAAGCGCCTGCCTTGCAAGCGTACAGTCGTGAGTTCAATCCCTGGTTACCATCACTTCCCGCCAAAAAATTACAAGGCATACAAAGAGGCAAAAGCAGAATTTGAACAGCTAGAGCAAACATCAGAACCAAATTCAGATATGGCAATTACGGGACTAGCAATTCAAAAAATATGATGCTGTGGTGCATGCCTATAATCCTAGAACTCTGGGAAGCTGAGGCAGGATTGCAAGTTTGAGCCTACTCCAGGCAACTTCATGAAAACTATGAATCTGTAAGTCCAAGAAACTCAACAATGCCTAGTACAAGAAATTATGGACAATACTAAAGCAAAATATAATAAAATTGCTCAAAACCTGAGATGAAGAATGAATCTAAAAAATAGCCAGAGAAGAAAAGACGCATTACAAAGAAAAGTAAGAGCCACTGCAGAGTTCTCTTTGGAAAGGATGCAACCAAAAAGGTGGTTGAGCAATTTCTCTTTTCTCTAAGACAGGTTCTTGCTATGCAGATCAGGCTGTTTTTGAACTCACTATGTAGCACAGGCTGACCTCAAATTGAAGTGGTCCTCTTTCCTCAGCTTCCCGAGTGCTAGGATCACACACCTGGCTTAACATCTTTAAAGTATAGAAAGAAGGAGGGCAGGAGAGAAGAAAAGAAGGAAGGAAGGAGACAGTCAGAAAGCAATTTACTTGCAAATCTATAATCAGTTACAGTATCTTTCAAAACCTAAGGTGAAATACTGACATTTCCAGAAACACAAGTTGGAAGATCTCATTGCAAGCTTAATTGTGTTATAAAAGAAGTCAGATGGAAGATTTGGGAGCAAGATAAAACTGATATCCAGTGGTGTTACTGATACAAAGTATCCTGGAAATGATCACTGTGTGTGTGTGTGTGTGTGTAATCACGTAGGATAATTGTCTTATTTTGAAATTTCTGTACAAATGATTACTTAAAGAGAATTATTAACAAAATATTTATTTTAATTTTATCTAAAGTATTACAGTGTATGAAACAATAGCACAAAGACTGGGAGGGAAGAGACGGAAGTATATATTGTAAAGTTTTCAAGTTAAACATAAAGTGGTCAAAGTATCAAGAAAGCAGACTGTGATATGATGTGTACTATAAACTCTATAAGCAATCACTAGAGTAGAATAAATAGTTGTAGCTAATAAAATCCAAAGGATTCAAAGTAAAATAACAAATACATGATTAATTCCAAATAAGGCAAAAAAGAGAAAGAGAACAATAAACAAATGAGAGGACATAAAACAAATAATGTGGTGGCAGCCCTAAACCTAACATTATTAACAATTACATGAAATGTAAGTGTATTCAATTAAAAGACAAATATTATTTCAGGTAAAAAGGAAAGAAAGATCCAATGATGTTCTGCCTACAAAAAATGCACTTCAAAGATAAAGAAACAAGTAGGTTAAAGGTAAAAGTCTGTATAAATTTATAGTATGTTATCACTAATGATAACAAAACTAAGTGATTATATTATTATTAGAAAAAGGAAATTTCACATCAGTACCCATTAGTAGGATAAAGAAGGTAATTTCATAAGGAAAGAGAAATTAATGAAATAAGAAGGTATAACAATTCAAAGTGTTTAGACACCCAGTGACTAAGCTTGAAAACACGTGAAACAAAAGCTGCAAAGAAAAATAGATTAAGTAGCCAGCGTGGTGGCTCACGCCTGTAATCCCAGACATGAGGCTGATGCGGGAGGATCCTTGTGAGTTTGAGACCAACCTGGGCTACAAAGTGAGCTCAAGGCCAGCTTGACCTGCATAGTGAGACCCCATCTCAAAAAAGACAAAAAAAAGAAAATAGATTAAGTATATAGTCATCTTCAGAGACTATAAAAGATGTATTTCAGCAATTAATGCAATAAAGAGATTTTTTAAAAATCGGTAAGGAAATGCAATCTGAACAACTCTGCTGACCAATATAAACTTAGCATTTATAGACTCTTCCATCCCAAAAGAGCAGGCTACAACTTCTTTCAAGAGTATGTGAAGCATTTAGGGATCCATAGATTTGTATTTTAGACATAAAGCAAGTCTTCAAGCAGTTAAAATAATTAAAATCACACAAAATTAATTATTCTGATCACAATAGAATAAAGCTAGAAATCAACAATAGAAAGATATCTTGGAAAAAAACATAAATATTGGGAAACAAGTAATATAACTCTAAATAGCCCATGTGCCAAAGAAGAAATCAAAGCAATGTTAGAAAGTATTATAAACTGAATAAAAATGCAATGTACCTATGGTCTCCAGCCTTTGCCTTTGCCTGACAGTTTTTCAACTTTACAAAGGTGCAAAAGCAATAAGCATTCAGAAAATACCATATTTTGAATTCTGGATTTTGATTCAAAGCCACTAGGTGAGCAACACTGTGACATGTTCTCTTGGTATGCTGGATTACAAGCCACAGCTCCCAATCAGCTGCAGAGTCACAAGAGTTAATAATTAACGCTCCATTGTGTCAACAAGCCGTGATTCTCAGTAGATCAAGGGTTTAAGTAAACATTTTCACTTAACATATTTTTAAAATTTATTATGAGTTATTGGAGTGTATCAATATCCATCATAAATCCAGCAGCATTTGTATATCAATATTTGTGACATATCGTTAAGAATGGAGTAGTAGGAAATTTATATTTTAAATACATTGTTTTTGACATTTAAACATTTGCTTTTCTTTATTTTTATCCTGTCAATGAATTTTGGACAATTAAATACAGTAGTATTTCACCATAAAAGTAAAAATCATTCCAGATATAATTCAAGACTATAAGCAACAATAATAATGACAAAAAAAAATAGAGTAGCTTGGATACAAAGCTTTGGAGATTCACATAGATAAGCTATGTGAGTCGGAGTTTTCCTTTTCCCCTGCAGTTCAAAAAGGGGATGCACCACTGCTTTGCTCTTCAAAAGTGAATAATCTGCCCGGAATATAAACGTGATGAATGTTGGCACTGGAGAAAGAACAGCACCCAAGTCACTCCAAAGTTCTATTGTCACTGGAGAGAAAGAAAGCAGAGAGGGAATAGATAGATCTGACCTTTGACTCTAGGAGAAAAACTTAAAGTAGCACTTTCTAAAGTGATCTTTATGACACAGGAGGGTCTAACTGGAACCAGAGAAGCCATGAAGAATGCCAGATAATTTAAAATACCAAAGATGGCCAAGAACCTACCTTCACATCCAAAATCATGCAATTCATAGACCCTCCCTAAATACATGTGCTGTATAGTCCTCAAAGAACACTGAGAATCACTAATGCTTTGGGAACAAATACTAAAATTAATTTAAGGAAACATTACTATGCAAATGAGAAAACTTCTTAGTCAAAAATATATCCCTGGGGACGTATCTCTATTATTGTATAACCAACTATGATCATTTCATTAGACCTTATCAGTGTTTCAGTTGGAGAATTAGGCATATCTCTGTTGGGTGATTTTTTCCTATTCATTATGGCATTGAGATCACTGGATTTTGCACAGCTGACAAATGAGCTGACCTATCTGGCCCAAAATGGATTTCTTCATGTAGTTGGTGCCTTAAGGGCAATGAATGAAAGAATGGATTTGCAACTGTCAACCAGCATGCCTACACATTTTTTTCATTATTTTGAAGATAGTGAAATATAATAGAACAAGACAGAACATAGCCAATTGAGACAGTGCAGTGAAATTGGTACAGAATGTCATAACAGTTTACTGGGATAACAGTAATAGGTGCCATAGTATATCTCATTATCTTCACAATAGTTGTCCTTTCAATCAGGTATAGCAAAATCAAATCAAATACAGAATATTATAGAACTTAACAACGCAGAATATTGAATAGAGCAATACAATTAATCAGAACAAAGCAAAACAGTGATAACAATATTTGCCTTCAAACAGATGATAGAAGGAAATCCCCCTCTTTGCTATATTGCATATGGTCAACCTCAGATGCTCAGATCTCTGGCTCCCATTTGCTAAGGTGGGGGGGGGTTGCAGATAGGATGTTTGATTCTCAACCCACACAGTGGTAGGCTCATACCAGAGAGGCAGGCTGTTTGTTTGATTTCCCAGAGCCCTAAGTTCCAACATGGCGCAGATCTCAGGAGACGCTGGGTGGTTCTCCCCTTAGGGAGGCCGCAGCTTGCCACACCACAGCCATTTACCAGGGAGGTGGGCTTGTTGCTTGGTTCCCAGCACCCTAAGTTCCAACATGGCGCAGATCTCAGGAGATGCTGGGTGGTTCTCCCCCTGAAGTGGCCGCCGCTTGCCTAAATATATATTTAAAAAGAAAAAAAATCCCAAATCAATGATTTTAGATTAATAGATTGAAGTAAATTACACTAAAAATAACAGATGGAAAAAATAAAGACCAGCACAAAACTCAGTGAAATAGAAAACAGAAAAACAGTAAGCAATGAAACTAAAACTTTACAGTGAGAGAGTCAGTTGCAATGAGATAGTCAAAATCTCAAGATGGTTTTTGAGATGATAACACAGGTAAACGTTGAGGCAGACTAATAAGAAAAAAATGGAGAAGATGCCACGCAGTGATAGCACAATCCGATGATAACATCGTTGTACAAGCTACAGACAATGAGGGGCAGTAAGGCACAATATGAACGGTTTTCTGCTGGTAAAGTAGAATCCAGATGTGATGAATAGATTGCTTGAAGAACACAAATTAGCAAAAATCATTAGAGAAATACAGGAAACTTGGATACTTTTCTACTACCAAAGAAACTGGATTTATAATTACAATCCTGTCCAAAAGAAAACACGGACAGCTTTTACTGGTAAATTCTATCAATATTTAAGGAAAAAATAATACACAAATTCTTAAACAATACCAAAGACAAAATGTTTCCAACAAATTCAACCAAACCAGCCTCCCCTGATACTGACCCTGCACACCTTGACAAGGATATATTTTTAAAACAACAACAGCAACAACAACAAAAAAAAAGAACTGGAGACCAAACGTTTTGAAGATTGGAAATACATAAATATCTTTCAGGAGAAAAAGTGAATGACTGCATCTGATATAGTCTATGATCGAACATTCTAGATAGAATGCTAGCCCAAACTGCATAAAACTAAAAGCCACAACACCAAATTGAAGAAGTAAAGCTCTCGGCATTATACATACAGTGTGACAGTGCTAAATCAAAAGCTTGAGATAATGAGGTCTCTGAAAGACCCTGACCCTGGCCAAAGGTCAAAGCCCAGTCCTTGGGCAGATGCTTTAGTCCACCAGCTGGATGACCAGAAACAGCAGATGGAAAAATGGTGATGGAGTCACGGTGTTCAATGATGAAAACACGGGGAAGAAATATAAATCACTTAAACTGAACTAAAATGGTGATTGATAAGAGACGTCAGGCATCTGGAAGCAAAGTTCTGCTATCGGAGGTTGGTCCATAAACAAAGGTTTTGGCTGCTTCTTGGTTATGTGGCAATAGAGGCGGAATGCAAGGCAGCCTCATGACTGACTTCAACATACAACGAAGAATATGGAGCAAGTATTTCTTTTTCTTAATTGGGTCAACTGGAGTTTGTCAGTCAAGGTAACTTTCATCTATTCCCTCCCTCCTCTGGCCTGTATGTTAATTAGGACACTCAGAATTCTTTTCTCAATGGCACTTATATAAAGATTTTACTAAACATAGGATAATTAGGCACTGTTTATGCAATCATAACTGTGTGACAAATGTATGAAAATACATCAGTGATGTTAAATACCAATACAAATGATGGTTACCTCTGGGGAAGTAGAAAAAGAACTAGTCTTGGGCAAAAATACCCAACAACTAATGTGCTTCAAATGGTATATATCTTATGTATTGCTTCTAAATGTATAAGGCAAATATATATGGTTAAATGATACAATTTGACAAAGTCAGGTGGGGTTTTTTTCCTTTAGTTTGTTTTTCTTTTTGTTTTCCATCGTGTTCTGTGTGCTTAAAATATCCCCTAATAAAATAATCATTGATTGAAAGCCAAATTAGCAAGACTGTTTTGTACAGAGAGACTTATTTGGGTAGCACAGTGGCCACTGGTCCTCACCCCAGGAGGTGCTGGCAGGATTGGGATCCAGCACTTGCAATACAGCTTCGGTAATGCCAGTGGAAGACCTGGACCACGGGGGCAGGACTTGGGACACTCTCACACTGGCCAGCAGAATTGGTGATTGAGATGCACACAGCTCGAAGCTGGATGTAGTTCTCTGTCAGTGATTGCACTGAGGATGCCCCTTCGCCTTTCTCACCACTATGCCGAGTGAGGCTTTCCAAGACCTTGCCCAAGTCACGCCTCATAAGGGAAAAAGAAACAGAATACCACAAATAGACAATCTAATCTGACACTCTACACTTATTTGAAAATCATAAAGATAAGTTTAGTATCACAGAAGCTGTTTTTCAGATTTATCGGAAAGAAGGTTTGCTTGCTAAGGTAAGTTATGACTGGGACTAGGCTGGGACCATGGTAGTTTACCTGAGAATCTGTCTCTCAGAACCACCTCCTTCACATCACCTGTCCCCTACCTACCTCAGTAGTTACCTCCACACTTCTTTTGGTTTGATTATAACCGGCTGCTTTTCCCGTCTCAGATCCATTCAGGGGCCCGCTGCCTTGAAAACCAGAAAGCAGCTTCACAGCTGACCTCGCAATCAGTGGTCTTCATCTGTGCATGTGGCTCACCTCACCTGGCAGACAGGGCCTGAAAGAAATCTCCTGGGCTGCCTATGAGGTGTGTGGATGATGAAATGATTTCCTCTGCTCAAGATAAAAATAAAAATAACTAAAATCACACTTTTTCCTTTTCTGCCTGGCTGAAAAGATTTTATATTGGCCTAGTTTCCTTTATTAATGATTCCTTTAAATTTGCTCAGCCTTTATTCCCTCCTTATGGCCAGAATTTAAAATAAATGACTTTTGTTTCTTTTTCTATCTCACCATTATTTTTTAAATAAACAGCATGATGAGAGACATTAAGCAGAGCATCTCGCCAGCTCTGGTCCTGGATAGGTCAGCATGTGACACCATGTCTGACTGCTGGGGGCAGGAGGGAGGTATCAAAGGATTCCCTAAGGAAGGGGTCATCCCTGATGAAACCTGAACAGCTGTAGAAACGTCTGATAGGATTTCCCCAGCTCCTCTGACCACTCATGGTTCCTGCCTATGATACTCCAGTGATTTCTGTATGGAAACTATTTATTGTTCGATTTGTTATTGTTGGAATTATCTTTTAAATGCTATTTACAGTAAAAATCTGCACAGAAAATTATAAGGAGGATGGAAATTTCTTGCAGTCACACAAACACCAAGAGAAAGCCAGCATCAGTGTGTCTCACATCGATTTGCTAACACTTTTCGCATTTATGCCCTTCACAAAACAGGTAGAAATAGCCCAGGGCTGTGTGCAAACGAGCTTCTCTTCCAGAAGCCTGTGCATTCTGCCTCCTGGAAAGGAATCCAGCTCTGTTTTGGGGGTTCTGACCCACATTAAAGGGTTGGAGAGATGTGTTGGCCTCATGTTCCCAGGCAGTTGCCTGTCCGGCTAGAGCCTAGGACCTGGGGATGAGGAGCCAGGCAGCTGGGGTAGGAGGCTTCCTCCTCACACCTGGCTCCTCTTCCCTGCTTCTGAACCACAGCAACCCCCACCAATCTGGTCTCCTCCCTTTGTGCTGCTTGACACAATTAGGAGTCAAGTTCTGAAGTTTTTTATGTTAAAGTTGACTCAAAATAAAAATGCTTTAACACTGCAGGCAGCTTCCACATTTTGGAGAAAACATTTTTTTTTCTTTATTTTTTTTCCCTGAAGAACGTGGTCCTGCCGCCTGAGGAAACAGGGCTGCCGTTCAGGTCCAGGCAGAACTGAGGCCCTTCTGCAGGGGACAGTAGCTGCAGTGATCATTCCTATTTGAGAAAACATCCCCTGCTTGTGCAAGTCACTCAAGCAGGGGACAGTGTCACTCTAACAGTACATAAAAGCAAACCAAACAATGACCTTGATTTTTTTTGTCTCCTTTATTATCTTAAAACTTTGGATCACACCCCTATTCAACTCTGCATATAGGCATATTAATCACCTAGGGATCGTTTGTCTAAATGGCAATACAAGGTTGATGAATCTCAAATTATATAACCTGTCTCATCCTCTTTCAAGACTAAGACCATCAAGATAAAGATTCACAAAAATGTTCAGGTACCTATGAGCACCTAGAAGTTTCCAACCATTACCCTATACCTATAATCATCTTGGGTTCCAGCAGAGGCTTCACAAGACTGAGACCACTCTCAGCAGGAAGTTACCTCATGGAATCCAGACTGCCCCTCAAAGCACCCAGGGACTTCCCTGGAGCCATTCTAAAACTAAAAATGAGATCATGACCAGCCAGACCCTTGCCTATCCAGCTCCTTAAAATCTAATCACGTTCCTTTGTTAATGGACCAGTCTGATCTTCATCAGCATTCTCAGGTTGAAGTCCCCTCCCTGTTTCCTCTTACTTTCTAACTTTGTCTAATAGATCAGCCAGTGCCTCTCACTGATACATCCTGAAATGCTTTTCTGTAGTGTTGTCAAAAAACCTGTCCTGGACAAGTTGAGCTCCCCATAAACCCTTTGGGGGTGTCTCTTCAGACCCTGTCCAGTAACACTGTGACTCTGGTTGATCTTGTGACATGAACATCTTGAGATAGTTTACAGTTTTTAAAGGTAGAAGGAAAGTGAAAGACACAGAGCATTCTGTGGCACATAAAAATGCATCCACTCAGCGTTCAGCATTCAGAGAGATGGTCCCTTGAACAGAGCCCCTTTCCTTCATCACATTCTGTGCTGATGCAGTGTTCGTGGTGGGACAGTTCTGCACAGCAATCACAATAGCAACCACCCAGCCTTAAGCCTAAACATCCCCTTCCTGGCCTGGTCCTCTCCTTGGAAGTTGCTTTTGGGGGTCTTTCTTGTCCTAATACCTTTGTTACAGACTTTTGTTATTAGACTCTTTTTCATTTAAAAAGTAATGTATTTATTGTAACAAGTTTAAAAATAAGAGAGCTATAAATTGTCTCTGTCCAGAACACCCCTCTTAGGCTCCAGCCGCCAGCCCATCATAAGAGAGGCCCGAGTTCTCTGTATAGAACAGGCACTGTGGTCATCGCCCCTATCACAACCATGCAGTTCAGTGCACGTGTCTCCAAGCAGCTTGTTCTGTGTCACTAGACTATGGTCCCTAAGCTGGGGCCTCTGAATCACTGACCCACAAGGGGACATGGAAGAGTTTATCCACCTCAGTCCCAGTTGATGAGTGTTTATTACCTTCCTGTACTGCTTTAATTTAGAAAATAGAAGTATTGGCACACTAGTGTTTATACTGATGTTTTTATTCTGCAGGAAGCAGATCTAAAAATGGAAGTGGTAAGTCAAAGCAGATGGGCTTCCTAATCTTAGTACACAACACATTACTAATTTTTTTCCCCTCAAAATGGTTGTAGCTTTTTCACACTCTGGCTAGTTTCTTCTTGAATACATTTTAAAAATCTAACCAAGTTCTTCTCTTTGTCCTACTGCTCCTTCTTCCTCTTCCTTGTTTCCCCTTCTTTTTTCTCTTTCTTCTTTTCTCTTCCTTCTCTTCCTTTTTCTCTTCCACCTCTTTTTCTCCTTCCTCCTTCTCCTCTCCCTTCACCTTCTTCTTCCTCCATCTCCTCCTCCTTCTCTTTCTTTTCCTCCTCCACTTTCTTCTTCTCTCCTCTTCTGTCTTCAATTTATTTTCTTATCTTCTTCCTGAGTTAGAGTTACATTTTAAGGCTTAATCACCTAAAGAGGCCAGGAGGCTGTCCATGCTTCTGTGGGACTGGATTCAGAGGGACCAAAGTGCACAGGATGATGATCTCCTGACACCAGGGGCCCCTCTGCCCTGTTGACTTACTGAGCACGCCCTTGATTTAGCTGAGATAAGGGAGGGCGTGGCCTTTGCAGAAGTTTTAGTTGTGGGAAGTAAAGACACCCTGTCTCTGTGGGGTTCCAGGGTGTGATGAGGGGCAGTCTCCTCAGTTACATCAGATGTGGAACGAACACACGCTGTGCATGTCCAAATTTCAGCAGCTGCTCTAAAAAGAAGAGAAATCCTCTGTATGGAGCAGGATCCCTCTGCTCAAATAAACTCCAAATATTTAAAGAGGCTGGCCTCACATTCCTGTGAATGATAAGAATAACTAACTCTGGTTGTTTTCTTTTTCTGTTTAAAAAAATTAGTTACAGAAATCTTAACTGATCTTATTTCTCTTCAAAGAGCTAAGTGGTTTTGCAGGCAAACTCTGGGGTTAGCTCTGAAGGAGGTCACACCCTGGACCCTGAGCCAGAAACCCTTCCTCCCACTCTCTTTGGTGCCTATTAAATCCTGGCCTGGCTCCAACACCTTCTCCACCCGTGTGCCCCATCTCACCCCATGTGCACCCTGATGTGAACTGTCACCCATGACCATGGGCAGTTCTTTAATCTTCTATTTCATAAATATAAGCATAGCCCTTGCCTTAAAGATGGTTCCAAAAAATTAAATAAAATAACACACTTACCATGGTGCCTACCTGAGAGCAATCCCTAAGAAAATAATAGTCATTTCTTACAATAATAAACAACAGCTCACATCTATATTAAGTTTCCTGCTTCAAAGATCTGTCAGATGGTTTGGGGCTGAGTCTCCTCACCCCCTGCCAGTCAGGTCAGGCCAGAACTGCTCTCAGGCAGGCCTGCACCAACGGTGGGCATGGGGGAGCTGTACCATGGGGTCCTGCATGATGAGGGGCCACTGAGCCTTGCAGATGGCAGCCTGCACAGCTGAGAGCTGTTTGTGTCCCTGTGTCGCACTGTAGTCAAGCCAGAACAGGTTGGGACGGTTGGGTGTGATTGCTGGGCTGCAGGGAGGAGACATTCAGGTGGCACAGAACCTGAGGTGGGGCTCCACTGGGTCCACTCCCTCACAAAGTCCACATTAATGCAAACCTGGGTGAGCCTGGTCTGGGAGTCTTGGGCCCGTGGCAGTTCCTCCCTTGATGGTTTCTTACACTCTAGTCTCTATCTCACCAAGGTTCTGCTATTCCTGTGGATCTCTGCTGTGATATCCTTTGATGGCTGAAACTTTCCAGCCCTTTGGGGATTATTTGTAACAATATGAGCAGCAGGGCAGGAAGAATTACAGAAGGGAATCAGACAGTCCTGAGGTCAACAAGGTGTGTCCAGGCACAAGTTGGAGAGCCCTTGGGAATAGAACCCCAACCTCACATGTCTGAGTTTTTCTGAGCCCCAATCTGTAATGAGCTAGCAAAAACCAACACTTAACATACTTCCTGATACAGATAAGCCGTCCAAAGAGGCTAAAATGCGTCAAATCCCATGTTCCATAAGGAAAGCCCCACAGGGACAGCTGAGGCTGGGCCAGACATCATATGGCCAAAATCCCAGGAGATCACTGCCCCCATTGCCACCTTCTCTGAGCTTGAGTGGCCCAGGCTGAGGGTTAGAGTAAGGCTTTGGGTTAGGGTGAGGGTTGGCACATCCCCACTCTTGTTCTGGAACTAACAGAGGGCCACATCCCTGGCATCTAAGCAGTGAGACACAGCTGATGACAAGGAAACCAAAATTATTCTCCTGTTTGTGTGTGTGTGCGTGTGTGTTCTATTTTAAAAAACATATGAACTGTAGACTGGAGTAGCGTCTATCAAACTTAGGAAATGCGTGGATTCTTTTAAGTAGAAGTAAATCCCAGAGACATTGGCTTCAGTTGCAGGGTTCAGAGGGCAGCCTTTCCTTTGGATTCACATGCTGTTTTGTGCAGATTCATGCAGAGTTTTAGTTCCACGTGTCCCTGAGTCACTGTCTCTGTGGCTCTGCCCCTCTGCCTGCTGTTGCTTAGAGCTTATTTATGTTCTCTTATTACTGTGGTGTGTATGTGTGTGATAGTGTGTAATGCATGTGTATGTATGTGTGGAGAGTGTATGAGATATATGTATGCAGTGTATGTGCAATGAATATTTGTGTGTGGTGTGCATATGATGGGAGTGTATGTGAAATGTGGAGTATATGTGGGTTATTAAGTTGTTATAGATTAGAAACTGGTGGTCAACTTAACCTCGGCTGGAGTAAATCAGCATGGTGCTGAGCATAGACATTCTACCTGAGAAAAGTTGTCAGCATAAATAGAGATGTGGAGGGGACGAGTGAGGTATTATGGGTTCTCCTATGTGTTGCTGTTTGAGCCATTGGTTCTCCTGGAGAAGCTCGTCATGACTAGCTTCCCCAGTGTGAGTTTGACCACTGCCATTGGAGGAACTCAGGACCTTGTTGGTGAGAGTAGCTGTGGTTCACTTTCAGGGAGCTCTGATCCTTACATCGAGCATGGCTTCCTGACTCTGGAGGGGAAGACGTGTGCCACTTAATCTCCAGGACAAACTCATCATGCTGGCTTTCTGGCATGTACTCTACTGTTTTATTGTTGGAGGAGCTCGGGACTTCCGTGTTGCTGAGGATGGCCGTGGTGCTTTTCAGCACAGCCGTGGTCTTTACTATGAGCATGATTCCTTGGCTCTAGTATAGTACCTCAACCTACCAGTACAGCTCCTTCACCCTACTGGCATAGACTTTCTAGCTTCTACTGCTGACCTTTGAACCTTCCCAACACAGATCCACAAAGCAGATTGGTGTGAGTCCTTCTCGTGAGCTCTAGACTTCCAGGTAGACTTGTAGGAGGCATTGTCAAGGGATCTAGGTCTTCATCTGTACTCATGTAGGACATTACTGTGGGATTCAGGCCCTTGAATGAATATCCTATGTATTATAGTGTAGTGGATAGATTTCCTGCACTTTCTCATGTTAACTCTGGGATACCATAATAAAATAATGTTATAAATTCCATGTCCTGATTTTAATTGTTCTCCTCCTGAGTACAACAGCAGTATATGTGAGGTGAGTGGAGTTTTAATAACTTACTTTACTTTGCTCTAACAGCTCTAGAAAAAAAAATGATAAATCTTCAGTCTATCTGTCCAACAGGTGAAGACTGAGCACTGCCATGTGGCACCCAATGCAGCCTCAAACCCAGAAAACTCCCACACTTCAATGGAGGAAACAGTTCCCCATGTCATCTCTTAGATGCAATATTCAAGTGCATACTGATGCAAATTTATTATGCATGATGAAATGTGGTGAATGGAGCTGCCCAATGCCATCCAACAGAAAGGGAGACTCATAAAAATATGATGATGTATTCACCTTATTCGCCAGCACTGGTGTAGCAACTTCTGACTCCAAGGGCAAAATGATCATGAAAAGTAAACATTTTCAACTGATTTGAGACATCAAGGCAGCCACAACAGTGCAACTAAAAGTATTCATGAAAGAGGACTTCCAGAATTGTTTCAGAAAGTGGCAAAAAGAGACTTCTGGGAGGATAGTAGAGCAGTAAGCAGCAGAAAAGGAGCGTCCCTGAGACTTGGTGTCCAGATAACAGAATATAGCACCATGAGGAAAATAGGTCCCCAGGACCCAGGAAGGATCTAAAGTGAGAATTGAAGCCCAAAGGGACAGCAAAGAGATAAACTTCAATGAAGAAGGATGTGGCAGGCAGCGGTTTCTCCCTGACATTGGATTCACTGAGTGGGAGGAGTGGTTCAAGCCTGCAGGCCCATGATGACCACTGAGGAGCCCAGAGGCTTCCATGGAGAAACTCACCAGTGGAACAGAGCAGTGGACACAGTGGACTGCAGTGGCTGGTGAGCTATTCAGCTTCAGATGTCCCCAGAAGAGAGCAAATGGCTGGGAGCCAATTGACCTTGGAACTCAGGACAACTGTTGGCTGTATCTAGCGCAGGCAAATGCAGTATTTCAGGGTCTGGTTCCAGCCTAATGGTCAGAAACCAGCCTGAATTTCAGTGGACATAAAGGTGAGTCTGAAAAAAAAGAAAAAGAAAAAAAAAGGTGAATCTGGCTGGGATTATTCATTACCCTGCTGTAAAGCTATTTCCGGATCTGTTAGGATTAATCAGCACAGATGTGGACTCTGTCTGCCCACATTGTTTACTAATGATGGCAGAGACACACCTTGAAGTGGACATTTTTTTAATTTTTTTCTTTCTCTCTTTTCTTATGTTTTGTTTTGATTTTTTCTTCATTTTTGCTTTGAATTTATATGATCTCTAGTTGTTGTTGTTGTTGTTCTGTTCTGTCCTTGTCTTTGTTTCTTCTTTCTCTCTTTCCCTCCTGTCTGCTTCACCAGTTTCCCAAAGTTTGATTCATCCTACCTCGTCCTTCATCCTTGCTTCTAATCTCTTCCTATTCTTCTATTTTTTCCCTATCCCTTTTTAAATTTCTCCCCAGAGGGTAAAATTGCCACATGAGGGTTATTCACTATGTACAATTTTCTGATTTGTTTTAGATTTTGTTATATAACCACAAATCTAACTCATACAATTGAAGGTGACAAATTAATGTCTCAGTTTGTCATTTTCTTGGCTGTGTTTGATACTATTTGTTATTGCTAATTGTATTACTTTAGCCAAAGAAACATTATTATTCTAACCAGTTGTTCTTACTGGTATACTAAGACTGAGATTGCCTAAGGATCATAAAATATAATATAAGCCAGTGCCAAAGAAGCAGTGGCTGTCCTAAGTAGGCAACAACTTCTTATCCCCAATAAACTGAAGAGATAGGATCTTGCAACAGACTCACCACCTACACCAGGAAGACACCTCTGAGAAGTAGTCATATCTTAAGGGTTCTAAATGCAAGCAATAAAGTTACTCACTACAGGCAATTTATAAGCATCAACCCAGGAATTAAACTAAAAATAAAAATAGAAAATGAGGAAACACTTAAACAAGGTGCAACCCCAGACATCCAGCTCAATAAAGGCAAACCCAAGGGACAATGAGGTGGAACAATCCAAAAGTCCCCCGGTAACAGCATAAATAACAAAGCAAACAAACAACACTCTAGAAAAACATCAAATCATAAATAATTTCTCAGATAACTACAGAAATGGTGACTATAAGGAAAGACATACTTAATGACTCTATGGCAGGTACACATTAAAAAAATAATGAAGTTTAGGAAAGTGATGGAAACCATGAATGCCCCATATAAGAAAGAAATAGAATGCATGAAAGAGATTCAAACAGATATCCAGGAGATTAAATATAAATTTTGAAAGATAGTTTTGTGGGATACACCAATCTGGGTTGGAAATAGGAAATAGTGCAAAGGACATAAAAAAAAAACCTCTAAAGACATCATGGCATAAAATTGCTCAGGCAGGCAAATAGAATTTGACATACAAATAAGTGACGCATATAGAACTCCAATTAACCAGCATTTTAAAAATAAATCTATAACAAGGCATACAATAGTCAAGATTCCATAAATTCAACCCAGGGACCAAATATTAAAATATATGAGAGAAAAAAACAAATCACCTATCAAGGAAAGCCCATCAGAATCACAGTAGACTTCTCAACACAGTCCCTCAGTTCAAGGAGAGTTTGAAGTGAAGAACCTCAAATTCTAAAAGTAAACAGCTTCCAACCCAAATTGAAGAACCCCACAAAACTATCTTTCACAAATGATGGAGAAATAAGATACTTCCATGGAAGGAACACCTGAAGAAATTCATAAACACTAAACCAGCACTCCAAATTGTTCTGAAGGACATTCAAATTAAAACAATAATAAGGATTACAACTCCATGAATCCCAACAGAATGAATCCACCATGAAAGGCAAGCAATTAAATAGAAGGTGAGAGAAGGAAGCCAGTGACAGGGAAATAACATGACAAGGATTAGAGAATACATATCAGTCATAACCACCAGTGTTAATGGTCTCAATTCAAGAATCAAAAGAAACAGACTGGCAGAATGGTACAAGAAACAAGACCCAACAATATGTTGCACACAAGAAACACATTTAATTTAAAAGAAATTCATGGGCTAAAAGTAAATGGGTGAAAAACAATATTCCATATGACAGGAACTTGGAAAAAAAAAGCAGGGTTACGCATTCTGTTTTCACACAAAAGGGGTTTCAAACCAAGACTAATTTAGAAAAGGTCACTGCATCCTTGTAAAGGGAAAATCCAAGAGGAAGAGATAATAATCATAAGTACATATGAACCAAATGCCACTGCACCTAACCATATAAAACAAATATTAATGTACATAAAAAATCAGGTAAGCACAAATATATTTCTAATGGGGGACCTCAGTACCCCACTGTCACAGACAGATCAATTAGACAAAATAATCAACAGTGGAATATTAGAACGGAACCAAAGCTTTGAACAAATGGACTTAGTAGATGTCTGCAGGGTTTTCCACTCCTCACATTAGAATACACATTCTTCTCAGCTGCATACAGAACATTCTCCAAAACAGACCACATACTAGCTCATAGAACATGCTTAAGGAAATGCAAAGGAATTGAAATTATCCCACGCATGCTACTAAACCATAGTGCAATGAAATCAGAAATAAATGGCAAAAAAGTACAAGAACTTTATAAACACATGGAAAGTAAATAATATCCTCCTGAACAAACAGTGGGTCACAGATGAAATTAAAGACCTTACACAGTTTCTACATTTAAAAGACAATGCCAATATGGCACACCAAAACATCAATCACCATAAAAACAGTCCTATAATTGAAAAATATAGCAGTAAATACCCATATCCAGAAAATATAGCTCAAACAAACAACTTAATTTTGAATCTCAAACTTCTACAAACAGAAGATCAAGTCAAGCCAAAGCTCATACAAAGGAAAAAATTATACAGATCAGATATTAATGCAATGAAGACTAACAAAACAATATACAATCAACAAAAATCAAGGAGTTGGTTCTTTGATTAAATAAAATCAGAAAACCTTTAGCCAACCGTTCAAGAAAAGGAAAGAGAAAACTGAAATCCATGCAGTTGGGAATGAAAGGGTGAATCACCACAGATCTTACAGAAATGCAGATCATCTTAACCTACTTCAAGAACTTGTATTCTAACAAAATGAAAAATGAAGAAGAAATGGACAGATTCTTACACACATATGAATTATCAGAGCTGAATTGAGAAGATATAAAAGTTCTAACTAAACCAATATCAGTCAGCAAGATTAAAGATGTAATTAAAAACCTACAAAGAAAGAAAAGCCCAGGTCCTGATGAATTCACTGCTGGATTCCACAAGAAATTTAGAGATCTCATATTGCTACTTCTCAAACTCTTTAACGTAATTGAAAGGGAAGTACACTCATGAATTCATTCCTGGGAGCAAACATTACCCTGACACCAAACCAGAGAAGAACCCAACCAAGAACAAGAGCTACAGATCAATATTCTTAATGAACAAATGCAAAAATCCTCAATGAGACAGAAAATTATACACCATGACCAAGTAGAATTCGTCCCAGGGGTGCAGGGATGGCTCAACCTATGCAAATCAATAAATGTAATACATTGTATGAACAGAACCAATGACAAAAACTATTTGTCAACCAAGGACAAAAATCAATAGATATACAAAAAGCATTTGACAGAATCCAATACTTATTCATGATTTTTAAAAACCTACAAAATTAGAATAGATGGTCTTTATTTTAATCTGATAAAAGCCATCCATGACAAGGCAACAGCAAACATCAGTCTAAATGGACAATAACTGAGAGATTTCACTCTAGACTCAAGAACAAAATAAGGATGCTACTGTCACCACTTTTATATAGTATACTCTGGAAATACTAACCAGAGCAATTAGAGAAGAGAAAGAAATAAAAGGAATAAGGATAGGAAAGGAACGGGTAAATTATTATTGTTTACAGATGATTTGATACTCTGCATAGAAGACCCCCAAAACTTCACCAAAAGACTTCCAGATTTAATAACTAAATTCAGTAGCATAGCTGAAAAAAAAAGTCAACACTCAAAAACCAATAGCATTCCTATGTATGAATAACAAATTCACTAAGACAGAAATTAGAGAATCAACACCTCTCACAACAGCATTCAAAAAATTAAATACCCAGGAATCAATATAATGAAAGATGTAAGAAACCTCTACACTGAAAGCTATAGTGCTCTGAAAAAGAAGATTGAAGAGAATATCAGAAAATGGAAAATATCCTTCACTCCTGGATAGAAAGAATCAATATAGAAAAACAGCAATGCTTCCAAAATTGATTTAATGCAATTAGGATCAAAAGTCCAATAGCATATCTCACAGAGTTAAAGAAAACAATCCTAAAATGCATTTGGAACCAGAAGAGACCTAGACTAGCAAAGGTAGTACTGGGCAACAAAGGCAAGGTCATTTCTGACTTGAAATTATACTACAAAGAAACTGTGATAACAACAGTATGGTACGAGCATAAAAAAGAGACCCAAGGACCAGTGGAACATATTAGAAGATGCAGAAATAACTTTACACATATTTAGCCACATTATCTTTCACAAAGGTGCCAAACATCCTCGCTGGAGGAAAGATATCCCCTTTAATAAGTGCTGCTGGATTTCCACATTCTAAAGGTAAAACTAGGGCCATTTCTTTCAGAACGCACTAAGCTAAAATTGAAATAGACCAAAGATCTAAATATTAAAACAGAAAACACTAAATGCGCTGGGGATAGAGTAGGTGAAATTCTTATAGACACTGGTATAAAAAAAGACTTTATGAACATAAACCCAATTGCACAGAACTATCATAAAGAACCAAAAACTGGGATTTCAGGTGGCAATACAGCTCAGGACCTGTTTGGCAAGCACAAGGTCCTGAGTTTGATTTCCAGTACCCACCTGCCCCCCAAAAAGGCATAAAAGCAAGTATCAAGGCATCTAATTTTGGGCTGAGGATTTGGCTCAGTGGCATAAATGCCTGCCTGGCAAGCTTAAGGTCATGAGTTCAATCT